GGTGCCCCATTCCCAAAGCCCTGGTGCCCCATTCCCAAAGCCCTGGTAGCACGGAGCGTCCCGGCCGTGCAGGTCACGGGAGGCCCGGGACTGCAGCCTGGAAAAGGGCTTTTGTGTGAGGGGAAAGACACACAGCCTGCAAGGGGGCAAGGACAATTTATTCACATCTTCCTCAACTCAGTCTTTGCTCTGGTTTTCCTTTGGGAGGATGGCACCTGGTAGAGTAGGAATTTTCAAAAAATAACAGGGATTTTATATATCTGTTTGTGAGCACACCTGGATGTGTTGGATATTTTGCAGTAGTAATTATGTCTGCACACCTGCTGGTTTCAGTCCCAAAACAGTTTGCCAGACATGCCTAGAGAGATTTATTTCTCCTATACCTGAAAAAGCTCTTTTACCACTCAGTTTTTACTACTCTAAATAAGCCTAAAGAAAAAAAAAAGAGGATTTTTTTCTTGTCTTTGCTTGAGCCGTTGGTATCTCAAACTGAACTGTGGAGTTTGTTAGGGGGAGGAGGGTGTTTGGATGATATTTTAATAGCAATTTGTTTTTGCTTCAATGTGTGATAGAAATACAAGTGACAGGAGTGGGAACAGGAGAGTTGCTGAATTCTGCTGGAATTTTTCCTGTGGGAATCTGTTAATGTTTTTAATTCTCCGAGAGATTTTTCTAAGGTAATCCTTTTGACATTTACATATTTTAAATGACTCTCATTAAATAAAAGCTTAACTTTTTTATATCGAATGCTGAAGTGATGATACTGGAATACCACTGCATAGAAATTCAAATGGTTTGAGGATTATTCTAATTGCAACCTAAGCAAAGTAAGATTTGTGAGGGATATTAGTAGAGAATTGTTCTCTAAAATAACGTAGGTTTGAAGGAAGTTTGATTGCTCTGGCATTTAGCAGATGCATTTTTTTAGACAAACCCCTTTTTGGTTTTAATGCCGGGTGCACTTGGCTGTTTGCTGATTGAAGCCCTGGTTTGGACAAGTGGCTTCCCCTCCTCTCTCGTGTACAAACGGGAGCTGTGCAGGAGCCCCGGGCTCTGCACCCTGAACTGTCCCTGCCTGTGTCCCCCAGGGTGGCTCAGCCCCTGCAGGAGGATGCTGAGACAGGCAGGGAGGGCTGCAAGAAGTAAGAAGTGGAACATCTTCTCAAAAGAAAGAGCGTGATGGTGAGTGTTGCATCTCTTGCAAGCAAATACTGCCCTAAGAAAATGATTCCTGTATTCGTGTCTCTGAACTCCTTTCCCAGGAGGCAGGAGGCACAGCATGAGATCTCTGGGACACACAGACAGTGCAGCCCTTTTAAAACATACAGTGGAGCCCTGCTTTTAAATGAACTTTCTTCTGTAGGTTGCACTTCACTTGTTCAAGCCCTTGAGCCAGAATTTGCTCTCAGACCAGACTAAATACTAAGCAAATTCATTTAATTAAATTTGTTGCAGATATCCTCAGTTAAGAAGAACAGATTGGTCTCCCTGAGGCTAGATGGCATTAACAAGAAAATAAATGTTGTGCTAATTAGAGAACTCATTTTCAGACACCTGGGGTGAAACTTTAAAAAGTCCTAGAGATGTAGGATTGAAAATTCATTTGGAAAGGAGTCTTAGGCTTCTAAATCACTTAGGCACTTTTGAAAAATTTACCCAGAGGCTTTAACCATCTCCCAGTCGTCACATTTAGCATGTTTGTAGCTGTCTGCTCAGCAAAGCACGGTGTAACCATTATCTGTGCATATCAGTGCACCACAATGTAGTTCATTATCCCTGTAAGGGAGAGACTGAGCTACCTGCTGAGCTGAAGGTGGGCTGAATATCATGGTTTTGAGGATGCTTATGTGTCAACAGGAACAGATTGATGCTTTCTTGGAGTCGTTAAAGCACTGGTGCACTAAATGTCCATCTATTTGCAACCTCGTGGGACTTTCTGTACCTAAGAACTTTTAATTAAATCTTGGTCTTTAGTGACTTGTCCAAGCTCCTGGATAAAGACAGCACAGATGCAATTTTATAGTTCAGCGCTTGCTGGAAGGAAAATGAGACACTTAATAGTGTCACACTGCCATTCATCTGCCAGATCATGATAGGAGGTAATAAGGAGTCATAAGCTCAATAAAAATTAGGTTTAATATTAAGCCAAATTTCCAGATTCACATATATGATTAGCAGAAAAGTAAGGAAAGAACCAGGCTCCAAGGAGCAAAAAGTCCCTTCATTTGCTTACAGCTCAGAAGTGTGTTTTCAGTAGTTGGTTTTTTCTCTTGTAACCGGTCTGAGGATTGTTCTGAACCCTCCTCCTTGTAAAGACATGCATTAGTAGTGTCTGTTTGATGCCAGGTAAAGCCTTCCCAGAGCCACGCACACACTGCTGTCTGTCAGCAGAAACCTGGGGGGGGTAATTAGAAAAATGCTGTTAAAAGCCTGCCTTGTAATCCCAGCTGGCCCCTGGGCTGGCTCGGCTCTGCCTCGTGCTGAGCACAGGGACTGCTGAGCACAGGGACTGCTGAGCACAGGGAGTGCTGCACCCTCGGACCAGCTCCTCACGCTGACAGGGCTGCACAAAGGGGGGCTGAGGGCACGAGCACACTCTGGGGTGCCCAGAGAGGGACCCCCGGGCACAGAATCCTCACTCTCACAGGTTTGTAACCAGGGTACAGGTGTAACATGTACAGCAGGGGACAGATGGGAGCTGGATCTCGCCATGGGGCCAACCTGTACATCGTGTAATGCCTGTCAGGAGTCTGGATCAGCATCATAAAACACATGAGTCAGGGCCCTAAAACACGGAGGGGATCCACTGAGCTCATCATTTTCATACCTAATTACACAGTGCTATTGAGAGAGAACTGCACATTATGCTGCACATTACGTTTCATCACTAGTTCTAAAAGATAATTGCATTTAATTAGGACCTGTAGATACCATGGTGATTACTGATCTATAAACACTCAAGGCAGACCTGCAAATGAGGTGCAACAGCAAGTGCATCCACTGAACACGATTCCAAAGCTGATGCTGAGCGGTGATGACCAACAGTTGAGCTGTTTTACGTGGAACTTGTAGCTCTGGTGCTCTGTTCTGATTCTCTGCAATCCCTCTGCTGTGAGCCAGCAGGCAGGCAAACACCTGCTGATCTTCCCTTACTGAATTTAGCAAAATGTTTGTCTAATCTGGGGTAACACATGCATGAGTAGGCAAAAGTGGCAAGAGTTGACATCTGTAGTGGCGAAAGATGACCTTTTCTGTGTGAAGTCAGGTCAGAAATGAAGAAGCAAACATAAAGCATAGCTAGTAATGCCACAGATAAGGCAGTAAACACTTTTCATGGTGAAAATATTTTTTGTGATGGACATTATAATGCATTTTGGAATTGCAAATTACAGTTCCAGTCAAAGAAGCTGCTGGTTCCCTTGTCCCAGCACAGGTCTGGAGGGTCATTTGCAGCAAGTCAGAGCACAGAAAAGTCATTCTCATCCTTCTCTGGTGCTTGTGCAGAGCTGCCTGTGCAGGTGTTCTGTGACTGGAAATACCTGGCGAGGGTGCCAGGGCAGGGAGAGCTGCCTGTGGGAATGGCACGGGCTGGGCCTGTGGGAATGGCACGGGCTGTCCCTGGGAGCTCATCAGGAACTGTCCTTTGTGTTTCCCACATGGGACAGAGCAGCTCCTTCCCCATACACGGGTCCTGTTCTGTGCTGAGCCCACCACCTTTGAACTGATGACATGAAGCTGAAAGTATCCATCCCTTTTGATCCTTTAGGGAATACAAACCGCTTGGAATACAATGTTTAACACAGTAGTCACTGAGTGTGAAACACTGCATTTCTTTTTTCCGGTAACCATGCTTGGAACCAAAAATCCAAACACTCAAGAGTAATGGGATTCTTGTGTGCACCAGAACTGCAGTCTCATCAGAAATCCTTTGCAGTTGATGTGTTCACTGCAGTGCTTTTCTGGAAACGGTTGTGAGGGGAAACACAGAAGTAGTATTTTTATGGGGAGGAAGGGGAAAGACTTAGCCAAGGGGCTAAAGGGAATGATGAATTGCTTGCCCACTGAAATTATGGGTATCCAGTTTCTTGCATTGTGTGGCTCTTGCCTTTTGCAGCAGGGAGAACAGGTGACCAATTTTGTATTTCCGAGAGTGTGAGGGGTGTGTGTGGCCATCTCAGCACCTCCCTGACAGAGCAGTGCAGCAAAGAGCAGGCTGGACACTGCTTCACAGCTGCTGTTCTGAGAAATGCTTTACCCTGAGCTGTGTGGCAAAGAGAAATAACATTCAGTAATGATAATTCAAAGAGCAGAGTGACCAGGAAAAGCAACGTCCTGTTCAGAATATATTCAAAGTTGTCATTTCACTTTACCTTTCATTTTGCCTTCCCCTTGGTAATATCTGTGTCTTCTTCTCACCCCCACAGCTCGTTGCTGGGATGGCTCTGCCACCTCCAGATCCCCAGTTTGTGCTCAGAGGTACCAGTGCTGCCATCCACACTCTGCACTTCTCCTGTGGAGGCCAAGAACCCGATCCCCCTGTTCTGTTCTCTGGGTAAGGAAACCAGGATTTCTGCCTGCTCTGAGTGTGCTCGTTTCCTTTTAAAACCATTAGAATGTCTGGAGAAAACAGCACCGTGTGGTTGTGAATGATGGGTGTGCTGTCTGTGCACACCCCTTCAGTTTGGGAAACAAAAAGAAAAGGAATGCAGTGGTCACACTAAAAGCATCTGTTCCTATTGCCAGCTCTGAGAACGGGCTCATCCACGTCTGGAACCTGAAAACACGCAGAGTGGACACAGCACTGGATGGCCATGGACGAAAATCTGTCTACTGTGTGGAGACAATGGGTGGCAAAGACAGGCTCCTCAGGTGAGCAAAGCAGAGGAAAACCAGGGAAAGAGTTCTTGTCTCTGGGATGGACACGACTGAAGGGAAAAAAGTCTCGTAATTCTGGAGTCACTGAAAGTCTCCCCAACACATGTGGAAAGGCACTGAAGTACAAAAATACAGAGAAACTCTAGAATAAAAAGTGGGGGGAAAATAGAAATTATTTCTTTATGATGTGCATGTTATGACATCACAACAACTTGGGATCCACAGTGCCTTTATTACTGCACTGAGATCAGGGCAGTGTTTGGGTAAAGGAAACACATTTGGATTTGAAGTTGACAAACCTTTCACAGCTGGTTCTCAGGGAATATTGATATAAAGAGTTTGTAAATAGAGGGGAGGGAGAAAAGGGAAGGAAAGAAGAGAAGAATCAGAGATGGAGAGTGGAAGACTGAAAATGAGCAAGGATGCTGAGTTTCATGCCTTTGCTTTGTTGCAAAATATCCTCTTGTTTAGCAAGGGAAGATTTGTGTATTTTGGATTAGACAGGTGATCTAGAGTAGATGCCAAAGTGTCTGTATGATTAGGAGGTGTTCTGACGTGTTTATCTAGAGAAGACATCTCATAATATACGTGGAACTCATTAGCATTTATATTTCTTATCTGCCTAGGTACAATTCTCAACACTCTTCCCCATAAAATCATATTGAATGAACATTGTCTGTATAATTATAGAGTTCTTCCAAACCTCTATTTCTGCTGTATAGTTATAACAGTTCACATAGCAGTGCAATTTTAGGACAGCAGGTACCTGTATTTTGGATTTCTCTCTTCTAAAGCTAAATCACAACAATTTCTTGCAGCACCACATTGTTTGTGTTCCCAGTGCTGTAAATGTTGTGTCAGCTTGTCACTCAGCTGAACAGTAGGTGGGAGTTTTTGTATTGACTGAAGAAGTCCCAACAGTCTGCAGATTCACATCTCCTCTGTTTTGGTTTCATACTTCATCAGGTGATCCAGCTAATTAAAGTAACACATGGAGAGGGGATTTTTGGTGACTCCTTGGCCCAGGGGTAGCATGAGGACATATGTCCTGTGCTCCTGTAGTTTATGGACTGGAAGTTTCTCCTGACAGTACCTTGTTCCAGAGGCAGTGGGATCCCAGAACCCTGCAGCAATTCCTGCTGTGCCCTTTGGGCTCCTGGGCTGGGAGAGCCCCCGAGGGCTGTGCCAGAGCCAGAGTGAGCCGCACTTGTGCCTCGGGGATTCAGCTACAGGGCTCTGGGGGTGTTGGAGTCACAGCATTCAACATTTGGTGTTTAATTGCTGCCAGTCCCTCTCCTGTCGTGTCTCCACACGTGGCAGCCCCACCAGCCCTCTCTGCCCTCCCTGTGCCTGTGGGACGTTGCCCACTGAATAACTGTAGCTTTTTATTTATCTCTGACACGGTCTGTGTTGTCTTGCTGGCTCTCTGGGTACTTTTGTTTCCTTTTAAATTAGATCTGATTAATGGTAAAATATAAGTCTTTTTATTGTGAATATGTTCAAATGCTCATGAGACTTTATAAATACACATAAATAGCATAACTGGGCTCGCTGAAGCCTCTCTCCACATGGGAACAGCCCTCTGGGACTGCAGGGTGTCTGCCTGGCTCTCAGGCCCTCCCTCCTCCCGGGGATGTTTGACCCTCTCGGCCAGTTCTGCGGAAGGGACCCCGAGTTCCCCGTTAATTACAGACCCCATTAACACCCCCCAGCTGGACTGAGCTCTGCACTCCGGCCTGGGCCAGCCCCAGTTTGAGCTGAGGGCTCCTGGGACCTGCAGCTCACAGATGTGTGTCACTGTCCCAGCCAGGGCCGGGACCAGAGGATCTGCCTGTGGGATTTAGCAGAGGGCCGGACCGCGGTGACGGACTCAGTGTGCACGGAGCACGTGGGATTCTGCAGGTGCTCCCTGGTGCAGGTGGCCCAGGGACGCTGGCTGGTGGCCACGGCAGCCAAAGGCCTGCAGGAGGTAGGACATGTCTCTTTTTCTGGTGCTTGGGAGGTTGCCTTTGTTACTGCAATGACATTGTTCAGGAGGGGAGCATCACTGCTCTCAAGTTCTCTGCTCAAGAGAGGGCAGCACAAGAAATCTTTGGGGTTCTAATCACTAATTTTACTGCCCCAAAGATGACTGAATTCTATAACTCCTGCTCTAATGACAAGGACACCAGCCCGAGGTTTGTCTGACAGTTCAGTATTTGCAGTGGCTGCTGGTCTTCACATGCAGGAGTTTTGAAAACTCTTCTGGTGCTGCTGGATGCTGGGAACAGGAGTCCTTGTGGGGAACTCGTGGTCAGCAGGTCTGCCATGAGGTGGAGGTGCTCAGCTCTCCTCTGAGCAGGGGAGGGGCAGCTCATTTGTAACGCGATCCGGGGCCTTTCACCCCGGGCTAATTCCTTCCCCGGGACTGGAGCTGGAAACAGCTGAATTACGATTAGTGGCCAGAGGTTTGCTCAGTGTGAGATAATTGCAGGGTCCATTTCAGTTCCTCCTGAAATGTCCACATCTAATACCACTGTCACTGCACTCCCTGACTGACAGCTTTGTTGGCAACTTCCACTTCTGCTTTGTAGAAATCATAGCTTTGTTTTCTACAAAGGACTGTTTGAGAACATCACATTAAAAGAAATTATTTCAAATACTTGACATCAAAATACCAAAATTATGAAAAAAAAATCGTCACATAAATATGAAAAGAAATATTGTACCTCACTGAACTTGTTGATGAGCATAAAAGTTCAGATGCTTTTCTGGTCTGTATCTTGAAACTAAAAGTTGCATATTTTATACACATGAAGTAATAAGTGCCTGTATTGCAAGAAAATGTGAACATTTTATTATTCAGAAGTTAAGCACATATTTAAGTACTTTGCTGGCTCACAGCCAGAGTGTTCAGCCTTTCACAGCACTGAGTGAGCCTGCAGACACAACCACTGCTCCAGTAAGTACAACCAGTCTGGGCCATACCTTGTTCTGATCAAACAAAGAACTCCCTCCATTTTGCTCAATAAGGTATCAGTTAAACAGAGCTGACAAGTGATTCTGGGGTGAAGAATTAAATATTCATCTGACCCAAACAGGACACCCCAGGGACTCATCCCTGGTTTGTTCTCATTTTTTGCGTGGGCCCTGCAGGGGAGGATGATTTGCTGTCTCCTCAGGTAGAAGAGTCCCACTCTGGGTGTGCCCCTTGCACTAGAACCATGTCACGTTCCCATAAATTCACAGGAGCTCCCATAATATACAGTCCTTCCAAATAGGCAGCACTGTGTGAGACGCAGTACATTTCCAGCTTATGATTAAAATTAAGACTTAATAAGTGTTTATGCTTGGCTGGTGCCCAAAAAAAGAGTAATTTTGTCTTAAAGCAGGTTCAGTCCATAAATAATGAGATCTGAACAGGCATTTATTTGTTCATGATTGCATTTAAATCACCAATTATGAGTTACACGCACTTTTCTTGCCAATTTGCCAGAAACATGTTAAAAGCTTTATTAATGTGAAAAAGAAAAAGGGTGTGTTTCCTTGTGGCCAGTTTTAGCCACCCAGGAACACTATTAACCTCAGGCAAAGGCAAATCTTTCTTCTATTAAGCAAAACCAACATAAACACAGCACTTCAAGTTTTAGGTTACAGTTGTCAAAATATATGAAATAGTATTTATTTCTAAGGCTCAGTTACTTTTAATGCAGACAGCCTCTGGAACTGTCAGTCCAGCACAGGCAGCAGCTCATGCCTGCCTGCCTCCTGCACAAAGCTTTGCTCACTGGGTTTTTCTTTGGCCTTTGCAAGCCCAACTGTGGCCCTCGTACCAGTTCATCTGTTTTCAGTCAAGGTAGAGTGAAGAAGGTTTTTTCCTTTTAACCTGCAGAAGTGCATTTATCACACCACACTTACCCTTCCTCATACATCGCAGTTGCAGTTTCAGTCTTGCCTAGGAGGCAATGCCCTTTGGAGAGACAGTGATGAAAGATGCCCGATGAGGGCAGGTCATCCTCATATTTACAGCCCATTTCCTGCCACAGCAAACTTGGTTATTATGTTGATAGCAAGAAAGTTGCCAAGAGAAAAGGATCTTTTGTTAAGAGTGTAGCTTGAAAGAACCAGAATTCCCAGCTGATGAGCCTTTGGTCTGTTCCCAGCTTTGGCTGCAGACTGGATGGCTCTTGGCTGTGGTCACTGCTCCTCCAGAACAGTTTCCTGCTCTCTCCCGTGGCTCTGGGAGCGCGGTGTGTGCTGAGTGCGGTGCCGCAGTCCTCGAGAGCAGCTGGCTGCTGGCAGGCTGGCTCAGCCTCCACAAATAGGAAGATGTTCTGGCAGGCTTTGAACTGAAGGGATGGGATTGGAACCATGGCAGCTGCCGTGGCCGTGATTGATGGCTCCCTGCGGAGCCGTGTTTGTGGAGCAGCTCCTCCGATGCTCCGGGAGGTTCGGCACCGGGGCCGTCCGGCAGCGCCGGGTCCTGCCCCTTCGAAAGGGCCCAGGACCGGGGGGCTCTTTACCAAATGGTTCAAGTCGTTTAATTTTACAACATAATGCAGACCATTGTTTATTTAATTAAAAGAAAAGATCACCTTGGTGATTAGGGGTGTGTTTGAGAAACAGCCATGTTTCTGGCAGCAAGGTTCTGATACCCAAGAGCTTCTGTTTCTCCATAGTTCCAGGCTTGAGAACCAGCCCAGAGCTGAGGCACTGCCACGTCAGTCAAGAGTCAAAACCTTCCAGTGCCAAACAGAAAAGGCAGCCTCCTGATCTTGCCTGCCATCATCCTGAGGTGGAAATGAGCTTCTTCCTTGGCACAGGAATGACTTGCCCAATGTTTAAAAAAAAACAAACAGAAAAACAGCAGATCCGTAATTCATTACCGTCAGTGCAAGCACAGTGGGAGCTGCTCTGTAGAGAGAGCAGGTGTTTAACACAGCATTGTCTGACCCTGCTGTGAACAGGGTCAGACAACATTGTGTCAAAAATACCTGTGTGCTGCTGCTGCTGCAGCCTGGGAGCCCAGTGACTCTGGGCAGGAAATAAAACATCCTCCTGGCATACACATACTGCCTCTATTTCTGTTACCACAACAGCACAGAGCAGAGAATGCAAGTGTCCAGAGGGGAACACAGCCAAAAAATTAGCAACAGAGAGGGAAAGAGGAGAAAGGAAGCAGGGCTGTGTTGTCAGTTGAAGCAGTCTGCAGTATTATCTGTGGTGTGCACATGTCACCTACTGTTTGGGAAGCAGACTGTGATGCAGATGAACTGGAGGAGTGGAGAAGAGGATGTGCTCACTCTGTTCCTAAAACAATGCACTTCTGTAGAGAGCTGTAGATTCCCCTGCAGCTCCAACTCAGCATGCATTCCTCATCTTCCTGCAGACAGTTTTTACTGGAGGAGCTTATACTAACCTTAATCACCTTAAAAGACTTGTGTTTTTAAGAGCAGAATTTTGACCTGGAGCCTGACCAACTCCTCTTGTTTTCCTGATGTCAGGTTCAGGTTTTGGAGCTGCCATCCAAGACGTCAGTCTGTACCTTGAAGCCAGAGGTGGGTGCCAAGCTGGGCATGCCCATGTGTCTGAAGTTATGGCAGGTAAGGCAAGAGTGCCTGCTAATTGTGAAATGTTTTCCCTGTGATTCATTTTATATGAAGCACATGAATCTTTCTTCACTTGGATTTTGATTTATTATCAAACCAATCAAGTAATTATACTATTAAAGGGGGGAAAGATTTGTGAACATCCTTAATGTAACTTTCAGAGCTTTCCAAGCTTTAATGGAAGATTTGCAAATGCTGAGGGAAAGCTTTATATCCTTAGGATAGATACACTTTTTGCATCAATCAAGAGGAAAATGAATGACTTACCAAAGCCACTTGTTTGATATGGTTTCTCACTGCATTAAGAATGATGAGAAATGACTGGGTTGCTTGAAAACTGTGATTTTAATGGCAGATTACATTCACTTCAATGCCCTCAGGACGAGGAAGCACTCTATGAACATTTCTATTCCAGACATACAATAGGAACAAAATATTTATGGTGGTACTGACTTTGGACAAAAAGGTAAATAAAAGCAGTTAGTGAAAAAAACATATTTGCAGAATATTTAGCCAATAATGTTTATGGGCTGCCAACAGTGAATGACAAGTAATAGAAAAGGGTGACAGTAGAGGGAGGAAGGAGTTGAAGTGATCGGCTCTAAATGTCCAAAGAACTGGTGGCAAAGCTGATTCCCATTTAACCCCCGAGCACACACAGTTACAGGTCTGCAGGACCATCCACGCTCATGCCAAATGTGTAGTTCCTGCAGGCTCAGCTCAACATTTGTGTTGCTTTCAGGTGAAAACATTCTCAGTCAGAGTTTGAGGCCTTAGTGTCTGCACTCAAAGTCCTGAACCAACTGAAATCTAGAGGAATTCATTTGCTGACTTCAGACAAAAGTAGGAGAGGCCCCTGTTCAAGTCCCATGCTATAATTAAAGAGTAGGAAAAAAATAGAAGGAAAATTAAATAGGCTGATTAGGCTTTTATTAAACAAAGTTTCTCCTAAAAATGCAGTCAGTGTTCAGTGCTCGATTAAATGAATGGGGCTTTCTGTCTCCTGGACATTTTTTAATAAGATGGAGATAACTGAGGAAATGTTCAGTGTTGAAAATTTTGTTGCCTGTATAAGAAGTCCTCTGTCTTGCCATATTTTCTGCATGCATTAATATTGCTATTCCTCTAGGAAGCAGAGCAGGTGCAGAGTCTTAATTTCATGTAGTTTTTAATTTTGTTGCCAGTGGGGATAAAGCAGAGAACTGGGAACTGGGAGAGGTAAATTATTCCATGCAGATTCTGACTCTGAGAACTCACCATAACTTCCTAGACTGCACCAGGCAAGTGCAGATAATCCCTGACAGTCTCACAGCTGCGTCTGCTCTTCTACAATTGTGTGCAACTTGGTTGGAAAGCGTGGGGAGCAGGACACCCTTAAGGGCAGATAATTCCCTGTGGGGTACCAGAGTGATGCTCTGCATTCTCAAGTGGCTCTCTGAGTAACCTGTCACCCCAGAGCAGCAGAGCAGGGGCTCAGCCCTGCCCAGCAGGATCTCTGTGCCCAGCCTGGGCTGGGCAGTGCAGACAGTGCACAGGGACCATGGGAGGGGCACTCCAGGGCAGCGCTCAGGGGCTGCCTGAGGGTCTTTGGTGTTGGTGAGGGCACAGGGAACGAACAAGTTGGAACAGAGGCTGACAGGGAGAGAGCCCCAGGATGGGCTGAAGGAATTCTGCTGGGCTGGCTGGCCAGGGAGAGCTGGGGCTGCAGGCAGGGCCCTGGTGTGTCCTGTGTGCCAGGAACCAAGGGCTGAGCTCAGGGACACAACAGAGCCCCAGCAGTGGGAATGAGGGACTGCACTGCACAGCACAAGGCAACCAAGGCTTGGGTTGGGCTTCCCCTAAGCAATCAAAATGCTTCAAGTTGTTTATTTGGGTCGTTTTGAGCACTTTCTCCCCTATTTTTCTAGGTCTCTCCTTAAACATACTAGCTCATTCAGTAAGTTTTTTTCTTGTGAAGATTTATGTTCTTGAATACATTGTCCCTTCCGTTTCACACCTTCCTGCTATTACTAATTGGGTGGAGTAGGATTTGCAGGAGTAAGGATAGTCTTTCCCTTAAATTCTGTGCTCTCCTTGGGGAAGGCATCATGTTGCGTAATGGTGCAAACAAAATAATTCAACGAGCAGAATACATGTCGAAACTGGAAACGCCGAGTTATTACTTTATATAAACTGTGGCAATTATTCCTGTTGAGTTGACAGCAGATCACCTTTTCTTCCTTCCTTGACACTTATCCAAATGCAACAACAAGATGTTCTGCTTAGGAAGAGCAATGATTTATAATTGAACTTTCCTACTGGAGCAGGACATGCACGGTGAGACGTCTCCAGCAGTCCCCGTTACTGGAACTGCCACAAACAGGGCTGGGAAGGAGCCTGGTGAGCTCTCAGCCTGAGAACTCCCCTCAGCTTTCCAGAGCTTTTATTGCTCAAGTTCATGTACTCATTGAAATATTACACTTCATGTGGTTAGCAAAGTCAGGAAGAAGCAGTGTGGGAGACACTCATTTCATAGGAGACAATACTTGGTTTTTAAAATAGACCAATCTTAGATCTCACTTGCAAATTACTGGTTTTCAAATCTAAGCTGAGATACCCACAACACAAAAAAAATATTTTTGCTTGGCATTTCTGGAAATGCTGAGCACTCACCTCCATCTGCACGAGGGCCCTGAGCTCCATGAGGCTGTTTGGAGCAGGGAGAGGAGCCAACCCTGCCCCTCCACACCACGTTTCACTGGCTAATGACAGAAGAGCAGCACTAATAATTGTGGAGCTTTTTTATGCTTAAACTGGGGGCTTTTTTTAAACTTAAAACTACCTGTGAAATACTTTGTTTTGCCTTGAAGGTTTTATCGTTTATTAAGTATAAATAAAATCTGGAATGTTCATTTAATTCAGATTTTTTTAACTTTTCCTTGGTATCAAAAAGCAGATCCAAATACCTGATGAGTTAACATTAGTTCACATGTATTTGACATATATTCATTGCTCTGATGTTATATTATTTTAGTAAATCAAAAATTTGACAGAAAAATTGTTCACAGTTCTGGGCACTATGAGAGACCTGCTTTGTGGGCCTTTCTAGCCAGAGCATGCTCCCTACCTGTTCAAAGGAAAAGGGGGCTGAAAAGAAAGAAGGAGGTTCCTGCAAGATCCCAGGTGTGGACAGAGCCCTTCAGAAGGATGGTGTAGGGGATTTCCTACATTTCCAAGGATTTCCCCTTGGTTCCCTTCTCTTAAGGGGCAACATTCCTCCCTGCTCAGTGAGATCTTTCCTCATTCAAACACTTCCTGGGCTGAACAAGGTGAGGAAGCACATGAGGCTGTCACCAGACCACCCCTCTCCTGTTAGTTTATCTCCCCCCAGAACAAATAAGAAGCAGTGGGAGAACAGTGTGGGCCATAAATAGAGGCTGGGATCCTTTGGCCACTGCAGGTTTGTGCCATGGCACTGACAGCAGAGAGCTTGACTTCAGTCAGTAATGTCATCCTGGGAAAAATGAATTCTTTATGTCCTTTACCTTTGTTTTGGATTGAATACCAAGTAAACAAATCCTGTGGGAGCAGACAGTGTTTGGAAGGATCTGAGTAACCTATTGGATACATTTCTTAGATGTGCCTACATGAGGTGGCCAGAGTCCCAGTGTCTATTTTGATGTTTCTTCTCCTATTGAAGAAATAACTGGCATTAACAGATGCCTCATTTTTAGTTGCTTTTCATTAGGGATTTGCATCTTCACTCTTGTAACCAGTCACTGCTCACGGGATCATTAGTCTTCTGGCTGGAGCAATGATGAATATTTTCCTTAAGTGTGACACGTAATCCAGTAATGTTCCCCTCTTTGAGTTATTTCAGGGGCTTAAATAAATTAGGTGTCTGCCCAGGGTGCCGTGGCCTTTGGCCTGTGACATCATTAATCAAAAGAGCTTTCAATTGGTTACAGTGGGACTGGGGGCCCATTAACCCCTTGGTGCCTCAGTGCTCAGTGTTTTCCTTGGAGCACAGGATCCCCCTGTGTAACCCTACCCTGGCAGTGTGGGACTGCAATCCTTGGCACTTCTGTCAGTGCCCAGGGGGCTGCAGTGCTTGACAGCAACTCTGTTACTCGGCGCAATTTTCTTTAAGAAGTGCAGACAAAGTTCAGACCATGAAGTAAAGCTCTGAGAACTTCAGGCAGCCTCTTTTCAGGTGTTGCAGAGGGCAATAGTTTGGATTTTCAGAGAGACATTTTCTATATCTGTGTGTATATCTGTGTGTGTGTGTGTTAGATATGTATTATATATATAAAATTTAGAATTTGATCTGTAGATATAAACCCCATAAGTACATAGTACCTAGTACTGCCTTCTGTAAGTGGATGGACTCTCAGGATTTGATATTCACACTCCTAAACACTTTATCACTTCTACTCCAGTCAGCATTTTCATTTATTCTCTTGGTGCTTGGACTGAAACCTACCTCAGGTTGGTAATTTTCCTAACAGACTACTTACTTCTCAAACAATTTTACTTTTTCCTTGATCAGCTCAGCTGTGGTTCCCAACCCTTGCTTCTGGCTGGCTATGAAGATGGGTCAGTGGTCCTCTGGAATGTGACAATGGGAAAAGCGTTGAGCCAACTCATTTGCCACCAGGAGCCAGTGATGAGCCTGGACTTTGACTTGGAGAGGACCAAGGGGATCTCGGGCTCATCTGAAAAGGTGCTTCGCATCTGGAGCCTCAATGAGCAACAGAACCTCCAGGTCAGCATCACTGGCCCTCTAGTGTCATTTATCCCACTCTGCACTAACAGTTTGATAGACTAAAAAAATATTTAGTCATGAAGAGGAGTTGTTGCAGATCTCTAGCTAATTAATCACAGACTGGTTAGAATGTCTGTGCTATGTGACCAGACTTAGCAAAAGATGGTGAGGATTTAGAAAAAAAAGAAAAAAACCCCCTCTCACATGTTTCTGGTTTTACCAAAGTTGCAACAGGCACACAGGCCTAGCATTACTCAAGCCATTGCCTCTGTATCTTCATTTATCACGTTAGTAGTATCGAGCTCTCGGAATGCCCTAAACATTATAAATGAGTTACAAAAATGAGAAACAAAGGATTGCTTTTCCAAAGGTTCTGCTTGAATGACTAGAGCTTTCTTTCCACTGTGGGAAAGACAGAAGTATTCCGTGAACTACTTCACAGACAAAAAGAGTAGGAGTAGCCCAAGCAGCACCCAGAGGACAAGAGGTTCAGCTTCCTTTGGCACCTACAGAGCCCCAGAGACACAACATGAGGCAGCTGGTGCACCAGTGTGTGCCCAGCAACACACCTGCAGAGGCTGGGTTAGGAGGAGACACCAGCTCAGTGAATGGCAATAAACACTGCTGGTATCCAGACAACCTTAGCAAGTGATCCAGCAGTGCCAAGGGGGAAGGAGGATTTAACTAGGTGTGGAAATGAAGCGCATAAATAAAGGCTCAGGAACATTAAATGGCCAAAGCATCCCTCTTTAAAGTGGCAGCTGTCCCATGAACAAGGGGAAGGACCCTGTGTGTCCCACACCATCCTGGAGAAGAGAGCTGTAGATGCACCAGTTCATGGGAGATCAATAATGGCTGTTCCAGCCACGTTGCAGCTTTTATGGAGATTTTTGTAGGTAATGTGGCAAGTTAGTGCTGTTTTCTGAATGGTGCTACAGGAAGAAAAGCACACGCTGGGCTATCCAGCGTTGACTCATCACCTGGGGGTCACTCCAAAGGTGTGGAGTCTGCAAGGCACCCCCAGAGCCAGCTGATGGGGCAGAGCCTGTGGGGCAGTGTGGGGCATGGCCCTGCCCCAGCAGGGTCTGAGCTGCACCAAACCCGCAGCACAGCAAGGGAAGGGGGCACCGGGCTCAGAACAGGCAGGGAAGGTGTTCTGAGCCACAGGGCTGGGGCACAGTTGCCATGGTTTGGGTTTGTTGGTTTTTTTGGTGATCTTTGCCCAGCCTTTCTGCCACTACTGTCACCATCTGCAGCTGGTGTCCTTAGCTCAGGGAAGGGGAAGGAAGGTGAGCAATCCCAGGAAGAAGCTTGGTATTGAGACTAGTTCTCTAAGGCCAAGGTGTCAGGAATCTGACACCAAGACAGCCTTCTTAAAGCTTCCAATACTCTGGTGCTGGAGAGGAGTTCGTTCCTTCATATTAATTATAGCATAATTTTTCCTAATTCAAAGGGAATATTGTTCTTCCCAGCACATTCCAGTTATGAGTTAACCCTAATGGAGGGCTACAGGTACAACTCATGGGAAAAGCAGTTCACCTGAAATGTTCCAGGTATTGTTTTTCACCAGGTATTCACATTCCCAGGAGAGGCAGGATTAGCTACACCCTCAGCAGCTCACACTGAGAGATAGTAGCTTTTCTCAGAAGAAATTTAAATGTCAGGTATTGTAAGCTCCCAGCAATGTTCCTGTGCTCCATGCAAGTATGAATGCCCTAATAAAATGCATCTTTCATAGGAGAACTAGAGATTGTCAAGGACATAGATTAAGTTTTTTCCCACTATTGCATTAATAATATAAACCAGATGGGGATTTTTTTCCCTGACATTCCAGGTACCTGAGGTAATGGTAGACGTTGGAAAGCCACTCAGTGGCACATTATTTTTATTCTAAGGGGTTTTAATAAGTGTGCACAGGGCAGAGCTATCTGCTGTGCAGAACTAATGATGCAATGATGGTGCTCAGCTCTGTTTGAAGTGGCAATGTTCCAGTGTGTCAATGAAGAGATGATGAAGGTAACTGCACACTTTATTGCTATGGGGAAAGTTTGGGGTATTGTCTTCTACAGGAAAGTTGCTGAAATCATCACTGTCAGCAAATGCCGGGATTGGTTATGAGCCTTCTGATTTGGAAGAGATAGTGTAATTATGTGATGATGTTTGTGGTGGAATGTAGGAGGTAAACAGCTTCTGCAGGTGAATAAACAAAGCACAACTAAGAAATCTGATAACCACAGAAGCTCCTTTATATATGACAAGAGAAAAAGTTCTATAAGATGTAATGTAAGTTTTGTTAGTTTGGTTGCTGAGGCTTTTTCCCCAAACACTAAAGCTTAGGCTGCTGCTCTTTGGCTATTTTTCTAATAAGCAGAGGGCTTAAAGACATGCTTTGGGTGTAGATGCAAGTGTCCTCGGTCATGACTGGCTGAAAGCAGCTCACCTGTTTTTACCTCTTTGTTTTCTTAATTACAAGCTGGTTTTCTGGTTAGGAAATGATGTTGGAATGCATTAGACTACTGTAGTTAGTGACTTACTGCAGTAAGTCCCTGGATGGCACAAATGCTGGCACTAGGATTTCAGCTGGCTGCACATACCTTGAGCAAGGGGTTGTTTTGCTCCTGTGTTTGCAGATCATGCACAAATGCCCCTGTTCCCTCCTGCTGCACAGCCAAAGGCAGGGCCGTGCCAGGCTCCGTTCAAGCCATGGCTTGCTGTGCTCTGGCTCCCTGGTGCTGTGGATCCTGCCCAAGAGCTGCCAGGAACGATGGCAGCACCACGCCCGGGCCTGGCTGCAGCCACAGCCAACAATCCCAGAGCAAGGCCCAGCTGGCACTGCCAGGCTGGTCAGGGAAGGAACAAATCCTTCCTTCCCAGGACACAGGCCCACAGAAATTCCACTGAGCCTAACCGGGGGGGGCTTGGAACACAGGCACTGACCAACAGCACAGGTTTGACAGTGGCAGCCCCACAAAACGGCCCCCATCCAGCCTCCTGCTGCTCATTAGGCTTGAGCAAAACTTGCTGTCCTCTCTTCTGAATTGGTTGGAGACATTCTTCAGGTTCTCTTTAAAAGAGGAATGTGTGGAGCGAATAAGAAGCATGTCAAGTTTCATTTAGCCTTTTTTCTCATCAAACTGCACACTTCTTGCTGTTTGAGTATGTAGCTAGGGCAGTTGTTACACAGTTGAAAAATAATAGCTTGTGGCTTTGTGTCTGTAAGATTCCAAATATGTTCAACTGCATCTGAAACTAACTTTGACTAATATTTCTGGAGTTTTCTATGTCCAGTGTAAAGGTTAAAGTTATCTGCAGTTAATGTGTTCTCTGTAATCCTGTACTAACTGTGCATCATGGAATGTCCTTCAAGGGGGAAAGCTGCTCACATAGAATGTGCTCGTCAATCCCTTCCCACCTCAGACAAACAGCAAACACCAACAGTGTATTAAAACAGGCACTGCAGGATATTGGGCTTTAGTACAAGACAGCTCTAGACTTGGGCTTAAGTAGACAGACAGTGACATAACAAACACATCATTTCCAACTGTGCTGATAAATAACCGCGGTTCTGGGCCAGGGGCACACCACAGGTGCCTGTGCCACTGTGACAAGAGCTGGGCTCTTCCAACACACACAGACACACAGACACGGGTGCACATTCTGTGTGTGTCTCAGAGCCACACTGCTCACTGATACAAGTTACCTGAGGGGAGAACAGCAAACGTATTATATTAAGCTTTTTTTCTGTGCTTCAAGAGAAACTTGTGTCAGTGAAGTGAAAACTCTTCTTTCCAAGGGCGAAGTCCTCTGCAGCCCCAGTGCCTCCTGAAGGAAGCCCAATGCCTTCCAGTGTAATTGTGCCCCTCAGAAACTTGTTCCCCAGTAGTCTCCAAATAGCAACAAAAGGCTCCCAAGATTGAAATCAATAACTTGGTCATAATCCCCTTCTTGGAATTTGGTGTAAATAAAAGTCTCTTGGGAAGGAGCACTAGAAATACAGATTTCCTGACACTGTAACCCAATTCCTGGAAGCATTCCTTTCTCAAGACTGAGGTAGATGCTACAACAGCTTATTGAGGGTTTTCTGGGGGGCCACAGTAGTAGAAATGAGTAGCAGGTACTCATCAGCTCCAAATCTCAGCCTGGGAATATTGCAGAAGCAGGGAAAATATATGGCCTTAGCCCTGAACATTGCAGCTCATGCAAGAATAGCTGGAAGAAAAGGGCACAGCTATGTAGCCTGGTGCTCAAAACCTTGACTCAGAGCTTCACTTGAGACAGAATATAAATTTCAATGCAAAATAAACTAAAAAAGGGTTTATTTTTAGACAATGGTGCTGGAGGTGGGAAGGTCTTTTCTGTCTCTGTCTACAGTTGTTCTCCCTAAACACCATCCCCACGTGGTGAAAAGCTGCACCCTGTGTGTGACACGGTGGTATGGGTGGGCACCACACCTGCTAAGGTGCCAAAAGGTTCCTTTCTCTTCTGTTTTGAACAATCTGAATTCAGCTGTGACTTTTTCACCCAGGTTTACAAAACACACGAGCTTGTCAACGCTGGCATATCTGACATCACCATCCGTCCAGACAAGAAGATTTTAGCAACAGCGGGGTGGGATCATCGCATCAGGATCTTTGGCTGGAAAAAGCTGAAGCCCTTAGCAGTGCTGGACTATCACACAGCAACTGTGCACTGTGTGTCCTTCTCTGAGCACAGGGACCCCCGGGAGAGGCTGCTGGCAGCGGGCTCCAAGGATCAGCGCATCAGCCTCTGGTCACTGTACACCCAGAGCTGACACCTCTGCCCCTCAGGGACTGGGGCAGCCACTCCTGCCTCTGCAACTCAAACTGCACGGAGGGAACTCGTAGCATCTTCTCCAGGCTGAAGGGAGAGTCCCAGGTTAATTCCTAATGCTGCCTGTTTAAGCTGCAAATTTTGTTTTCCAGAGAGGGATTTTTAAAATCCATAACAAGCAGAAAAAGGCCAGTCACAAACAAAGACACAGAACAAGTTGCTTTGGGTTCTGCTACAGGTTTTGCAAGAGCTTTTCTTTGGCAGGTTGCTGAAATAACTTGTGCCATTATCTCTTGTGAAAAAGGGCTGGAATCCCTCAAACTGTGGTGGGGGCAGAATACATCTGTTTGTAAGCCATTTATGTATCCAAGAATTTGAACCAGTGTAAAATATCAGTCTTTCTTGAAAATTTATACCCATTAAACCACCTCCAGTGGTTTCTCATTGTCAGTTACTTTTTCTTCCCTGTAACTGAAAGGCTATCAGAACGACCTTGATTTGTTCACACTTCTGTCAAGTTTCTAACTTAAACCAACAGCCAGGAATGTGACTAGGGACGGCCTTTGGCACTTATGAATTTCATTATGTCTCCTGTCACCTCAAGCCTCACAATTAATCACAAGAAAGAAAGGGAAAAATCTTCCCCTGCACTGCACTGCAAAGCTTTGTAAAGCCTTTTCCAGAGCAGTGCTAAATCCTTCCCATAGACCCACGAGCTGAAGGATTTGAACTCAGCAATCCAATTAACACCCTTCTCCTTGGAGAGTTGGGGGTGAGTGTCAGCATGGCAAGGCTGGGATTCAGCCACACAACTCTCAGTAACATTTAGGGGAAGTGCTGGGGTAAATCCCTCCCCACACGGTGCAAATGGCTCCGTTAACTTGTCATCTCTACGGCTGGGGAAGCTAAAATTCATTCACGGAGGGCTTTTTGTTTGACTCATGAAGCAGCATTTGCATTCTTCTGAGGCATTTCAGACACACCCCTGTGTGTTCAGAGCCACCACTGCTGGATTCCCTCACAGAGCTGCAGTGGCAACTGTGGCCAGGCTGGGCACTGCTGATACTTATTGGAAATAATTGTTTCTGCACTATAAAGAGCTGGAAATCAAAGAAAAAGGCACCAAAAATGCAGTGAACAGCAACATCAAAGACTTTAGAAATTATTTCAGGACAAACACACGTGGAAATTAAGGTCTGGGTCTGTTACCCAGCTGTGCTTTGCAGGCAGAGAATACTGCTGGACTGAAAGCCTTAAGCACCCAGCCTGGTGTTCTTTCCATTAAAACAGAATCAGGATACTGTTGCCAGGCTTTTCTAAATAAAACGTGGCCTTACACATTTTGGAGTGTAATGACAGTTTAAATAATGCATTTCTTTGATTATTTCTTTACTATTCAGTAGCTGCATGGAGGATCACATTGCAGTTGAAAGTTAAAGCCTAATTTTGAGTGATCCCAAGTCAAGGGGAGGTGATGGTGTTCATTACATCTCCCAGACAGAGTTGCACAGAGTAAGTGCTCCACCTCCACCCCTCATCCCCTCCCACACAGAGGAGGAGCTGCTCCCACTGTACTCCAGCCTATGGAATGAGGGGCCGTCTCCACAAAGCTGCTGCTGGAAGAGACCTTTTCTTTTGTTCTTTCCCCCTTTCTTAAATAAGTCAGAACTGACAAAGAAACAATGCAGTGAATAACTAGAGAAAGCACTGCTGAGTGTGGTCCAGGGACCCATCCCAGAGACCTCTGCACCTCACAGCCACCCAGGAAACAACTGCTGACCAAACACTGGCACTGGCACAGGGGCAGCCCCCTGGCAAGACAGGATTAATACCCTGTGCCTTAACAGGAGCACTGTTAGATCAGAGCCTGAAAGTCAGGAATTCTGGAGTATACTATTTCCCCTAAAAAATGCCATTTACTGTCAATGTCTGTGTCTAAAGTCATCGTGGAGACTCACAAGGGATGTTTAGATTTACGAACAGGTCCTTTGGAAGATACTCTTAAAGATGACTTTGTGCTGTCACATCTAACACTGCCTTTTGCTGGGAGTTAAATATATTTGACTGATTAGGTAGAGTTAAAAATAAACTTAGTCATGCAAGTACAAATTGAAAATGAGGGCATGAACTGCATCTCACTACCAGGCAGACACAGAGGTAAAGAATTTCATCAGCTTCAAGAGGAAGGACACAGGTTGCAGAGCTCCTTGCAAGAACAGACCCATCCTCTATTCCCATTACCAAAGCACTATCCTGCTCATACTTTTGCACATTACAGTTAATTCATTAACACTTTACATCACTACTGATTTTATTTAAACAACCAATAAACAGATTTCCCTTTCACATTATAGTTTCCTTGAAATGAGCAACCAGACTACATTAGTTTGATTTAGAGTTGAGCCTAAATGCCATAGTTGGATTGTGAATTAGAGTCTTCTAAAATTTTATATCCTTAAGGAACTAACCTGGACTTCCCCAAAGAAGAATGATTTCCAACAGGAAGGACAGTCTATATTGTAAAACACAGTTGTATAATTGTAAAATACAGTTGTCTGATTGCATCTATTAAAGTAACAATTTTTTTTAATTAAAAAAATAATGTAAAGCTCGTTACAATTGTGCCATGAGCATGGTTATCACCTGAGATTTCAGCTGACTCGCTTAGCAGGAAGGCTGTGAGTGAAGAGCCACCTTAAGCTGCTGGAGTGAGCTCTGGAATCTCACCTGCCAGTAAGGAACAGGGCTAGCCTGTACCTGGGCTAAAGGATTCAGGAGTGAAGGTGATGACAGCTAAATTATTACAAAAGGCTTCCTCCCAAGAATCACCGTCTTTGGCACTGTGAGAGGAAGAAAGCAACAGCATTCGTAAACTAACAGAAATAAATCCCAAACACGAGCATTTGTGCAGCCATTACATGGAATATTTATCACCACTGGAATGAATGGTGATCTCTGACCCTCTAAGATTATTTGCAAATGAACCCATTAGTTAAACCTCTTTCTCTTATCAGTACATGAGCCATAAAGCATTGCAGTCCTAAGTGTAGATGAGCAAGGAAAGAGGAGATTAATTGTATTTGTAGTAATGAGTGAAAAAGGAAGTAGGCTGGGGGCCTGCAATGAGACAGTTGTTAAATTTAGCCTTATGCAATGCAATTGCTTCAGCAAGCCAATAAATTATTCTCTGCAGCTTGACTTGGATTGTTGCAAAGGTCTGAGTTTAAAAGAGCAGATTTTTATAGTTAAGTTAATACTGGTTTCTGGACTGCTTTTTGTTTTTAGCACGTTTAAGATGCATCTACAAAGCCAACTTACAAATTAATAAATCTTTCCTTTAATTCAGTGTGCCAAGAACAAAGATAGAACACTGACTACTGCAGGAGCCATGTTAGTGATGTAAACCAAAGGAGTGGGGATTAACCAAGGATTACCGAGTGCTAAATCAATGTGTTTCCTTTTCTGGCTGTGTGTGTGTGGTGTGAAAGTGTGGATCATCACACAAACCATGGCACAGGACTGCCTGCATGACACCAGACACTGTTCCAGCAGTGCTGGGACACACACACAGCTGGATGTGGAAGCACAACCACTGTGCTCCCAAGGAGGTGACAGCACTGACTAAGGAAGAAGGCACGGGGGGTTCTGCTGCTCTCCAGTATCCTGAAATCCCAGCCTGGGTCCCCCTGCTAGAGTAGTTTTTCCAAGTAAACTGGACTGTTTTTATCCATGTCCTACTCTTCTGGGGCATGCTGGAGGTTTTCTTTATAACATGAAGAAAACTATCCAGAATTAAGATCATACTGGGGGATTTTGGCAATTCATTTCCAGCTGTCACAGTATCAAATTAAATGAAAGCATAATCTCTCAGCTGTGAATGTTTTGCTCACCTGATTATTGGTATGAACAATATCTGTATGTCCTGTCAGCAGTGCTATGCACTGCTTTATTCTGACTTACCTCAGAGGAATTCAGTTTGCAGTTTGGTGTTAGAAGAGGAGGAGAAAGGGGAATGAGGGCGTAAATCAAACCAAAGCAGCAACCTGTCCCTCTGAGTTCAGTGATATGAAGATTCTGGAAAGCACAAAGGGCCTTGAAGCAAACCACCTCCAGCAGTGGCCAGATTCCTTATGGGAAAAAGACAAGGATGGCAGGAAGAGTGGAACCCTACAGTGACAGGTCTGTCTTTTGAAACTCGTACACCAGCTCATTTCAATTTCAGAAGTATTTGCTTTTAATTCTCCAGCATCCTTTTTAAAGGTGTTGGAACACTAGGAAATCCTCTAAAACACAGCCTACACCTCTAAATAAGGCTGTGTTCACCCAGAGGAGTGTGGACTTATTTCTCTGCTATGAAGAGTCATAATACCAGGGACTGCAATGCCACAGGGGACAGCACTGGGAGGGACTGAGGTCCTGAGGCAGCCACATGCACTGCAGAACTATCCCAGAGCACTATTAACTGTCTTCTTACAGAACAGTGACATGACAGTGAAAAAAAAATTAATTCTAGCAATTATCTGTTGCAAACTGAAGTTCTAATAATAAAAAAAAAGGAAGAAAAAAAGCTGTTACATTACACTGAGATTACAGCTAGATGCTGTTTCCTCCTAGATTTTATTCCCAGGATACATAAATGAGGGCAGTGAAAAGCTATAGAAACCCTTGGGTGCTTTCTGGACAGCAATGAGCTCCCTTTCCTGCCAGCAGCAGGGCTGACTGATCCTGGCATCCCATGCAAGCCAAAGTACATTTTCCAGGCACCCACTGCTTGCTATAAACACATCCTGGCCCAGGTAAGAAGAAAGTGGGTGTGCTGAGCCTGTGGAATAACTTTAAGCATGGCAGAGAACATGGCCATGGCATTTGTCCTGATGGGAATTCAAAAACTGCCAGGGATTCATGGATGCATTGTCTCTGTGATGGAAAAGCGTCTGGGCTGCTCTCACCAGAACACTGAGGGTAAGAATTGTCTGGGCAGATGGTTTTGCCTCAGATATTTTGATGGCATGCAGGCCTGGCATCCTGCTAAATTGAGACATTGAGTCTTTATAGTTTTATCTCTTGAGCCCATCTGGTTTGAAGCAGTTGACAACAAGCAGGAAAGGGAACAGAATGAAAGACTCACTTTATGTTTGCTGAAATAAAAGCAATGTGTAAGGCAGCGCTCAGTGAGGGGCCGCTGCACTCGCCCCTCACCACCCTGTGCCCTGCTCAGAGGGTTGGAACGGGATGGCTCTGCTGCAGCCCCTGCCCTGCCACGGCTGCTCCCCCACCCCACAGCCCTGCTCTGCTGGGGCATTCACCCCATAGCCCTGCTCTGCTGGGGCAGCCAGGCTGGAGCACCGAGGGACAAGGGGCACCACCTGCCCCCAGAACAAGGGACAACAGGAGCACAAAGCAAGGGGATGAAAACCCAAACCCAAAGGCAGAGCCCCCGTCCACCAGGCAAGCTAAAACCACTGACAGAACTGGCACTGCAAACACCCCACACAAAGGTGCTTCTGGAAATTTGACATGTGGTTTATCCTGGTTTTCCTGTTGCAGTTCCCAGCCCAGGGGTGTCCCTGAGTCCCTGGGCACTGTGCAGTCCCCCCTGCTGCAGGCAGGTCCTTCCCTGCCCAGGGCAGCACCCGCTGGGTCAGTTCCCACAGCGAGCTCTGGGGAGGAGGACTCTGCTGTGCAGCTCTGTCCCCTTACACAATTAGGTCCTAAAGGTGACTTTTCTGGCTGTTGTTCTTAATCACTTTGTTACTAGTTCAAATTTGTAATTTTAACCTAAACAGAAGTGAGTGATTTATTGTAATTGTTTTGTATAGGCTGCTCTTAATAAACTTTTTTTAAAATCTGGAAAAACATTTAATTTCCCATATGGAAAGAACACATTTATCATACTTTACTCGGATATACTTGGCCAACTATTGCACATATATGCAAAACATATGTGACAAATTCAAGGCTGAATTTCATAAAACAGAAATGCTATGAAATGTGATATAATAAATATATTACACAGACATATGTGGCCAATTTATAAAACTATGGTATCTTTGGTAAATTTATAATAGGTCATTTCTATTAATGGAGGGGAAGGAGTGCATTTTTTCTGGCATATGCAACACACACAGTACTTTACACAGACGGTGGGGCTTCGGAGAGCACAAACACACATAGTGTACGTGTCATGTCTGTGTTCTTCAAAACTAATGTATATCTTTATGTTTCTGCATTGATCGTGTGTGCAACATACCGGGCAGGAAAAAAAAGTGTGACACTATTCCTGGCGATTTGCAAAGCTGTGATACACGAGCTGGATTCCCACAGGCAGTGTCCCTACAGGGTGTCCCACTGTAACAGCTTCATGTGCACGTGCTGTGCTCATGATAATGGCAGGAACAGAAATCTTGGGGTACGGTCACTGTCATCTAGTTGTGTCAAACACCTGTGTAAATTAAATATCTTACCGACCAATTTAATTAGAATAATTAAATGAAGAAAATAAATGCATACATTTAGAAAAACGTTGCATTCATACACATGCACTGCCCTGTACACGAGCAGACCGGACTGTTCCTAACACCAGCTTATAGCAACAGCTGAACCATTGCTGGCTGAGCCTCACTCACAGGTTACTGCCCCTCTTCGACTATGCCTGCGTGCCCCAAAGATCCATTCTTTGCTTTACAGAACGAATCTATACTTTCCTCTCTAATTGCGTATTTGCAAGCTGTGCAAAAGCTCTCCCAGGACTCGTTTTCCGCGCGGGCAGGACCCACGGCGTGCCATGCCCGGCTCTTCCCTCTGGAGGGAGCCGGCTCTTCAGGCAGGGCGGGCCGCAGCGAGCGCAGCATCCTCCTCCTCGGGGTATCCCCTGCCCCGGTACCCCCGGGTGACCCGGGGCACACCGGGGCCCCCCCGCCTGCACTGGCAGTGCCGCACGAACGGCGGGTCCGCCCGGAGCCCCCGCGGCCCCAGACGTGCTGCAGCGAAACCGCCTTTGCTCGCAGCCCACCGGGAAAACGAGCGAGGGCAGAGCACGGAGCAGCAGCACGGCCGTGCCACACACACGGCCCCCGCCCGCCAGCCCAGTCCAACGGGCTCACGGCAGCTTTGGAGCTCCTCGGCTGAAGGTGCTGAACCTGCTCTGCAGGTACTGCTGCGTTTGCTCTTCCTGACTCCTCCGGGCAGCAGGGCTCACCCTCTGCCCCCCAACCCTAACCTGTGGGTGCCTGACTCGCTTCCAGTGGCTACTTTACACTGGCAGAACATTACACAGCACGACTGAACCTGCTCCTTATTCCTTCCAGTCCAGACGGAGGTGTGACTGCCCCTCGGTGAGGGATCCAGCGCCACGGGCTGAGACGCACTCTCTGGAGAGCAGGAGGTGTGTCTGGGGGGAAGGACAGTGCTCCAGCCGAGGGGGCCCTGAGCCACGGCTCCTCTGGAGGGCTGTACTGCACACCCCCAGCTCACGGTAGACCCACAGAGCCCCAGCAGCCTGGTGCCTCCAGAATACCTGCAGTCCTCGAGTCATCCTCCACTCTGCAAGCAACTCTTACACACACTGTCACATGAAGGAAGCCAAAGCAGTTACTCCCTAGCCATGGCCACGTGTACATGTGCTTGGGATCGACTGAAGAGATGCCAACACCCCAGGATGCTGAGAGGGATCTGCTGGGGACCACCTTCACAGTTCTAGCCAAAGTACTTCTGGGATTTCCCCAAAGATGAGGAAAGACTGAAGTGAATATCCATGAAGTGTGTAAACAGTGTGCATGACCACCACAAGCACGCACAAGTCTCATCCCCATGCTCCTATCCTACACTGAAGTTAGTCAGATCCACTAGCATGGAAAAAACAAAACCAACAACAGCAAAAAGCCATTTCTGAAAACTGTGTTTGGGGTAAGTGATCAAACCAAAGCCGCCCTTGTTTCACCAGCCTAATCCTGTATTTATGCACTAAGTGATGCGGTTTTCAGACCTCTGGAGCAATCAGCAAACTCAGCCTGTACCTCTGGAAAACAGAGCTCCATGGCTAATTTATTCTCTAGCCCTGTTTGGAAGAGACAAAGGGTGCTTGTACCCTCCATGCTTGGGCCTGTTTTACCAGCAGCTTTCAAATACCGTGTTCCGTGTGACTTGAGGTGACACAAGTGGAAGCATTGTCTGGAAATAGTGCCGCCTTCTTCCCAAAAATGTGCTGTGGGCCTTGGTGACAGTGTGTACTGAGTGAAGTTTAACCAGACATGGAAGCAAATCATACCAAGTCATTTGCCAAATGAATCTGCAATACATAGGTAAGGCTTGACTATATTTTCACTAACTGGCTGACAGGTGACCAATCTGAAATTAAAGTGTTACACATTTTCTGTGACTTTCAAAATGCTTCTACTGGTCAATGTGCAGTTATGGGGTTTGTGTTTGTTTGAAGGGGATTTTTTGTTGTGATAGAAAAATAACCCTTTTTGCTTTCCTTATTTGTAACACTTCCTTCCATGAGATGGACACAGCAATGGAAGGAGGGACACTGGTCAAAGTCCCAAGGAATCTTGATTTAAGGATTAAAACATGAGAAGAAATGGACTGCTAATATGTTTCACGCTAATATATCTGAGCACCTTGCATGTTCATGGCCCAAAAGCAAGGCTGAAGTACCATTTTCATAGTTCAGACTGTAGCCTTGACACAGGTGCCAGTTCCCTCCTTCCCATTCAGCCCCAGGACTTCTGCAGTGGATCTTTAGCACAGAGGACAGACCAGGGATCCTAAAGGGCCCCCTGCCCACAGCCACGGGTTGAGGATCTGTGATCTTCTCTTCTTCTAACAAAGAGAAAATTAAAATTCCTGCAGTCAAGACAAGGACCTTGAGCCACTTTTGGTAAGAGCACAGCTTAGTCCTGGCACCTTGGGTTGTTCTCGGTGTGTTTAAAGAAAACAGTGCTTACCAAAACAAACAGATCCATTTCCACCTGGGAACCCCAACCTTGCAAGCTGTGGGGTGGTGACAGATCCCCACAACCACACACAGCTGGGGCAACCAGGGACAGCAGGGAGGGAGGGATGACCTGGGAGAGTCACTGTTTGCTCGGACTAAAATCCCCCCTTATTTAAATGACCTCATTTTGCAGGGGAGGTTTATACTTCAGAGCACACAAACTGACAAATATACACAAATAATCAAACAAGAAATGAAGGAAAGAAAGAAGAGGAAAAATATTTATAAATGTCACTGTCCAATGTCTTTTCAATTTAAATGAAATAAGATTATCTACATATATCTACAAATATCTACATGTATCTACACTGTTCGCAGATATGATTTCTTTGGTTGTCTTCACTTTTTTTCCTATGCTCCAACTATTAAGAAAAAAAAGTGTTTGTATAATCTTTGAAAGAAATAATAAATATAACAACTTCATTAAACGTTTGACCAAAGCTTTGGCACTAATCAGTTTACAGATAACAAATCATAGTGAAAACTCTGAAATAACAGCGGCAAAGCAACAGAGCACATCCGAGAGCCATTTCCCACTGACTAATAATAAGCACAAGGCTATTTGACATCAACCTTTCTGAGAACATTAATTATGGTTTAGTCAGACACTAAGAACCTCAAAATTCACTGCAAATGTCAAATAAAATACATATTTCTTGCACAAGACTTTTTCATGGATCCAGATATATTTTTTTAAACAGAAAAAAAAAATTACATAAAATATTAATGGTAGCCTGTATCCCTTCTTAAACCCTTCGAAAAAGTTTTGGAAGCCCAAAGCCCACTGCCAGAGACAAAATAAACATTGCTATTAACGCTGCCACCTGCACAAGGGAAAGAACACGTTTTAAAGCGTTTGTAATGAAAATGCACAGACATGGGTGAGTAGAGGACTTTAAAAAAACATAAACCCCTTCTTTTCATAGAGTCACACGGAAGAATCAGAAAAGTGTTCATAATACTGTATACCAACACAGCTGAGGGGCTGCTCCAAACCTTCTCTGAACACAAAGGGACTGCCTTCGGTGAGCATCCGAAAACAGAAACCAACTACTCCAAACACATCACCAGAGAAACTGTGATGAACAGGGACATCCCTTCGACAATACAAACCACTACTGAAGGAGGGTATTAAAGGAAGAAGAAAAAAGTACTTACCAGCATTAAGAGGGAAGACGCAGGAAGCAGGTAGGTGTAGAACGGGTGCTTTGGGATTACTGCAGTTTGGGTCAGCCAAATATAAGGGGTGAGGCAGACTGAGAAAAAACCCTGAAGTCCCTCTAAAAGGCACCTCCACGGGAGAGCATCAGGAGCTCGGGAAAGGACGCAGGAAGGCAGGAGTGTGGGGCTGCCTGGGAAGGGGGTGAGAACACACGGCCTAAACCCTGCAGGTACCCCCACCCCAGGCTGGTTTTTAAACCTTTGCATCTGTTGTTGTGAAAACAAGACGCAAACACAGCTGTACGTGGCTGTCCCCTTGGCCACGGGCCCTTCTCAACAGCTCCAGAAAATGCTGTTGTGGTTAAGGCACCCCCGTGAACCCCAAAACTCACGGGAGGGTCAGGGCCGGAGGGGAAGTGGGAAATCTGTTCTGGCAGTGAGGATCCAAAGCGTCCCCTTGCCCTCAAAGAACCACTTGAGCCACCTGCGAACGAGGCCTCGGTGTCCCCAGGTGGGAAAGACTGACCCCGATGTGTGTGGGGCCTCGTACGGCCCCGCGGCACCCCCGCACCGCCCTCAGACACCCGCGGGCGAGCGGCCGGGCCCGAGCCGCTCCTCCGCCGCTCCCCGCCCTCACACCGCTGCCCGGCCACCCCCGGCCTGGGTGCCCAAAAGGACATATGGCTTCATTTATCAAAGTGCAGCCGCGGTCTCTCCGCGATGGCGGCCCCGGCACCGCCGCCCTCACGGCCCCCGCCGGGCGGGTCACCCCTCACGGCTCCGTCCGCGATGGCGGCCCCGGCCCCTCACGGCCCGCGTGCGCCCGGCTGCCGCTGATTGGGCGCTGCAGCTGTCCATCAGGTGGTGCCGGCCTATCGGGTGGCTGGAGGGGCGGGAGGCGCGGGCGGCGGGCGGGCGGTGTCCGTGGTGCCGCCGGGCCCGGTTCGGCGGGGCCGGTTCGGCGGGGCCGGTTCGGCGGGGCCGGTTCGGCGGGGCCGGTCCCGCGGCCCCGTTACCGCGGTCCGTACTCGTAGCCCGCGGGCGCCCCGGCCGGCGAGTACATGTTGGCGGCCGCCGCGGCCGCCGCGTTCATGTGGTGGTGGTGGTGGTGGTGGTAGCCGTGCCCGCGGATGCTGGGCAGGGGGTAGGGCGCGGGCCGGCTCTTGGCGCCCAGGTAGTGGTCGTAGGCGGCCGGCGGGTACTTGTAGGGGTGGTGGTGCAGCGGCTCGGACGCGGCGGGCTCCAGGCGCAGTTCGTGGTGCGGGGGGCTCGGCCGGCCGCCCCCCGGCCCGGACAGCGGCACCAGCGCGCCGGGGCCGCCGGGCAGCGCGGGGCTGAGCACCCGGGACATGAGCTGCTGGTGCGCGGCCTCCGCCTGGTGCAGCCCCGGCCCGCCCGCCTCCCGCTCGAAGTCCCGCCGGCTCTCGGCAGCATCTGCGGGGGACACACCGTCAGCATCCCGGCACGCGGGGGAGAGCAGCGGGGGGAACAGCGGCGCTGACTGCGATAAATGGAGCTCAATTGACTGACAAGCTGGTGCACGCCTGACATTTTTGCAATTGTGTAACACTAAATAAATACAGACTTCCCTTTATTTTGCAGGCCCGGAGTGTGTTTTGGAAGAAAGGCATTCGGTTGTCTTTGCAGTTGTTTGCTCTGGGTAATGGAAAAGCAGTCAATGGGCAGAGGTGCTGTTCGACCTGACTGCAGCTCCTGAATGGAGCGGGTCGGCCCTGAACGTGATGCCGAGGCACATTAAAAGGGCAATGCGAGGGGGAGCCCGTGGCCAGCGCTGCATCCCTGCCTGAAAAGCTGAGTTTGTTGCCAAAAAGTCGAAAAGGGGACACTAAAGGCAAAGGGTGGTATTTTATAAAGCAGCAAAGTTGCTTAAGTACAACAGTGAGTGCTGTAGTCCGAGCAAGGATTAATTAGGCTATGAAGGTGGCTATTTTTGTTCAAAAAACGGGCAGCAGTGCAAAGCTGGTTAGCAGTGGGGCTGTGCACCAGCGTGAGGAGCAAAGCTGGCCCTGAACATGCATGTGGGGGCCGTGCAGGCCAGCAGGGCCCGGGTGACGGGCTGGCCTGGCCAGTGGGGGCTCTCACCTTTCTCTGTCCCATTCTGGTGGGCTGGGGAAGAGACTGGATTCCGGGATCTGGCAAAAGCACTCATGAGAGGAAGAGCCCCTGGCCTGTGGTTCCTGGGCCTGGAAGAAGAAATGGAGAAGTGACACAGAGCCAATGGTCCAATGGAAAGAACACTTGGAACGTTGCTGCTGTGAGCTGCAGCTGGCAAACGGGGCCCCACAGAGTGTCCCCCAAACCCCATGCAGGCCTTGTGCAAATGTAAGCTGGGCAGGTGCACGTGAAACGGGACGGGAGTGGGGTGTAGTCAGTCAATAAAGGCACAGCCTTACCAGTCCTCAGGGTCGCAGTCTCTGAATCCCTTGGCAAAAGGGTTGCTGGCGATCTTCAGCTGGGTGATCTGCAAGGAGAAATGGGAAAATGTCTCAGTGGCACACAGGGCTCCCTGGTCAGACAGAACACGTGTCCCTGATTAGGCTTGGGGACTCAGCAGTGCCTGCTCTAACAGAGAGGGTCCAGGTGGCCGGTGGAGCTGGGACGTGCTCGGCCACAGAGCACAATCGTGTGCTTTCTCTGTTAGAAAATGAGGGCTAATATGCTACCTAATATGAGTTCAAGGTGAAGGGAGAGGCAGCCTGAGTCGGCTGCAAAAGCTGAGTAAATGCACTTGTAAGAAAATGCCACATTATATGGGTCACCACTGGAGCAGCTAAGACAAATCACTGGATAAATCATACTTATGTATTTATTTAATTCGCCGGGGAGAAGGCAGGACATTTTCTATATTTAAGCAAATCCATGGATAAAGTATGTGATTGTGAGTTTCCGGAATGGGTTGAAAAACAAACTTTAAGCCCCTCAGTGACAGTTCCAGCCTTAGAGGTCAAACTGATAGAAAGCAGGAGAGAAAGAGCAGCTGTCCGGAGCCATCAGGCAAATGCCAGCCGGGGAGGACTCTGCAGCCCCTTAAAGGCACAGCCTTGCTCTGGTCTCGCAGGGTGAGGTGCGGCCCGACCGCAGCATCCCGAGGAGACCTCGGGTGGGTCTGCTCGGAGCCCCTGCAGAGGGTGGCACTGCCGCTGGCTGCTCGGGGACAGCTCCAGGACCCAGCCCCGGCCCGGGCAGCGGCACCAGCGCAGAGTGAGGCAGCTGGAGCAGCGCAGAAAAGCCCCCACTAGAAATCCTATTTGGCTAGAAATCCTATTTGCGCTCGCCACTGGGATTCCTGCTCTTTACATCACACTGGTGCAATTTAAAGGAGCAGTTGGATTAACTGCTGCCTAGAAACCCGCATCAGATTGGGGTGGGGGTGTTTTGTTTCGTTTTTAACATATAATTGTATTCGGGGGGGAACAGACAGCTACGAGCTTAGAGTAGTAAAATCGCAAATTTATCCAAACAAATTGTGAGTGACATTTCCCAGCGGGAGGCCTGTAGTTTCCCCACTAGCCCCAGTCTTGGGTTTACATAGGTAATGAGGTCCCCCGGGCAGGGAGAAGCTGGCGATGGGGCTGGAGCCCACGTCGTTTCCTCGGCATGCAGAGATGCAGCTCAGCACAGCCCCCCGGCTATCGGGTTCCTGGCGCTGCCCCGGAATGGGTTTAGCAGATGGGAGGAGGAGGTGGGAGTACCCCCAGACAGCCCCCGGACACCACAGCCCGGCCTCCAGCATTGGGCGCACCCACACCCAGGGTACCTGTGGGGTGACCCCAACCCCCCTTTGGGCTGCCCCGGCCCCCGCCGCTGCCTCACCCGGTGGTTCTGGTAGGCGGTCACGGCTGTGAAACGCGTCTCCTCGAAGACGAAGGTTTTGAAGTTCTCCTCCGCGTATTTCTCACTGTCTTTCCGGGGGTCCACGTAGACCACGTGAAAACGCGGCTGGTATCTGTGCATGGAGTTCAAAATGATCTGAATGATAAAATGAGCAAGGAGACAATAACTGATCCAGGCGGAGCATGGAGAGAGGAGAGCGCAGCCCGGCCCTGCCGGCTCCCCTGCCCGGGGCGGCCGCGGGGCTGGGGCGGGATCGGGGCACAGAGCCCTGGCGAGGGGCACGGGCAGGGTCCCCCACGGGGATCACGGGGCGGGGAGTTCCCCCCGCTGCAGCCCGGCGTTGGAGACCTTCTCCCGGGAACACTTACATGGCCGTTGTCGTCCAGCAAATTGTTGGTCAGTTTGAGCTTATCGAAGGAAACGATCTGCTTCATCCACTGCGCCCCTTTGGCCGGGGAGTCCGGGTGGTAATGGACCCTGCCGGGGGTGGCGGGGTCGGCTTTGCCGGCCACCAGCCAGGAGGAGCTGTGGAAGGCGTACCTGCGGGAGGGAAGGCACCTCAGCCGCGGCCCGGGGGGTCCCTCCCGCGCCCTGGTTGCACCCACGGCCCCGCAGGACCCAGCCCAGGACAGTCTCCCCTGGCCCAGCGAGGGGGAAGCACTGCCTCCCCATCATTGCTGCTTCCTACGGCCATGGGAGGAACCAGCTCTTCTCTGCAGCCAGACTTGCTGCAGGGGAGAGATAATATTTTATCAGGTTGCCGATGGAACCGGCGTGAGAGGAATCTGCAGGATGGAGGAAATTTATAGCTACCCGTGTAGATTTGGGAGAGAAGACACAGAAGCTCTCCCTTCCTCTAAAAAAAGGGTGAAAGAGAGCCCTCTATACAGTAATGTTCTGGCTTTAAGTGAAGAGTGGAAAGTTGTGTGTAGATTAATAGCAGGTCCAGAATTTAGCAGCCTCGTTTCATTCTTTCAAAGTACATATTCAACAGTAACATTTAAAACAGAGAAACCAATCTTCTATACACGTGTTTACTTTAAAAGCCAGTGTTTGCACAGGGGGAATTAGACACCATTGGACTTGAGCAGAAACATTACTTTTTAAAGATATACTCAATTGGATGTTATATATCCCACTTCCCTTGACAAGCAAACATTTCTAGGACGCCCTGAGAATTTGGATATCTGTCTAAATATTTATATATCGGACCCTGCGATTCCTATGCGGGCTGCCTGCTCGGCGTCCTGATCTGAAGCTAAATACATAATGCACCTTTCACTGTCTTAAAAATTAAAGGGCTTCCAAACCAGACCGCATCGCTGCCCTGTGAGTCGCCAGTTTCCAAGGCCTCCCTACTCTGCCACTGAAAACAAGGGCAGGGTTTTGTGGCTCGGATGGCCAATGCCTTTCCGGAGCACAGAACCCACTCTCTTCACCCAAGCACCCAGCGGGCTCCCAGGAGGGCATGGCAGAGCCCAGGGACACTGGCTGAGAGGCTACAGCACTCAAGGAGCCCCGGGAGGATTTTTGTCAAGGGGTAATGTGTGTTTGCCGGGTGGAGGCGAGTAGCAGTGCAACAAGGAAAGCTTTTCTGGGCAGAACAAGGCAGCTCCTGCCCTGTGCCCTGTGGAAACCTGCCCTTCTGCCCGTGCTGCTCCGGCCTCGTGTGAAGGCCCAGGGGGGCCCTGGGGGTCCACGCAGCTGCTCCCAGCCCTGGACTCGTTGCAAAGGTGTGAAAGAGACCCCAGGGCAGCCACATCCCGCATCTCCTTCTCATCTCCTACCGACATGCGTCCCGGAGGGCAGGGGCAGGGGGCGGGCAGTGACCCACCGGCCCTCAGTGCCCGGGCAGTGACCCACCACCCCTCAGTGGGCAGGCAGTGACCCACCACCCCTCAGTGCCCAGGCAGTGACCCACCAGCCCTCAGCCCCGAGAACCCGGGCGGGCAGGGTGTTACTTGCCGGTATCGCTTGTCGTCTACGGGGACGAAGTCCATGAGCAGCATGTAGTCAGCCATAGGGTCCATGCCGAATATCTTCACCTGGAAGGTGGGGAACATGCGCCTGGCAGAGAGGAGAGAGAGAAGAGCTCAGCTGAGGAGCAGTGGGGAGCCCCGAGGGGCCGGCGCGGGTACCCTTCCCCTCTGCTCCGACGCCCGCCCGGCGGCAATGACAGGTCCCCTCGCAGGAACCGCCGGCCGGAGGAAGAGGCAGAGCACCCGGGCAGCGTGAGGAGAGGGGATGCCGTGTTCCCCAGCCCTCGGCAGCATCCCGAAGGGTGAGTCAGAGCGGTGCTGCCTCTCCCGCCGGCTCCAGGACCGTTGGTGTCGGACCCCCGGAGTGCCCCGCCGCGGTGGAACGCAGACGCCGAGGGGAACGAGTGCCTCCTCCCCCTTTGCGATGGGGAGACCCAAGTGAAAAGAATTTCTTCCCCATGATTTCCCCATCCTTTCAGCTGACCTGACTGGACGCAGATGCAAGGCACTACCCCGCCTGCGGACCCACACCCGAGCCGGGAACAGAGCCTCGGGAGTCCCGGGCAGCCCTTGGGGGCACATCTAGAAACTCCTAAGAACGACATGAGGTGATGGGAGTTTCCATTTCTGCAGCTTCTGTACCCCGCAAACTGCGCCCGTTTGAAAGCAGCGGTTACAGCAGCCCCGTGGCCCTCGGGGCCAGCGGGAGACCTCCCGCAGCACGGAGGGGTGAACGCTCCCCTTCGGCGAGCAAGGACTAGAGGGCAACAGGGATCTCCCAGAAAATCCCGTCCCGGCTCCACTTCGTTGTGAGAGCCCGGTCGGGCCCCCTGTTCCCGCACCTTTGCGGGGCGAAAGGAGAGCGGGAAGGAGCCCAGGGCTCCCGGGCAGGGCAGGTCGAGCCCCGGGGCTGCCCCTCCCCGCTCTGCTCTGCGCAGCTCCCCGGGGACCCCAGGCTAAGCCGGGACACGGATCCCACGCTCGGGGAGGGCACGATTCCTTCGAGGGGCTGCGGAACAAATGCTGTCTGCGGTGGGCTATGGGCAGGGGCCGGCACGGCCCGCCCGTCTCTCCCTCCTCCATCTGCGCACACCGCGGACAGGGCCCGGCCCGCGCTCCCCGGCGGGACACGCCGAAGATGTGTCCTGGCGTCGGGGCTCGTTATGGCTTCGGTTTTGTTTTACCGAGTAGAAAATCAAGCGAGCGACAGCGGGCAGTATTCCGGGAAGGAGATTTGCAGCCGTTGAAAAACCAAATTCCCAACACCCCCTGAACAAACAACCCGATCGAACCCGGATATCGAGAGTCCCCCCCGGCCCGTTCTCGGGGCGCACGGCCGGACCTGCTGTGCGTCTGCCCGGGTTTTTTTTGGTTATGTGCCGCTGCTCCCCGCGGAGGAAAGGCCGCCTGGCAGGACGATGGGGCAGCGCGCCTCTGGCTCCGCAGCTCTTCCAGTCCGGGCCCGGCACTGCCGAGCTGCACCAGGATCGGGCGGCTGCGTCTCCCTCCCTGTAACGCTTTAGCAAACTCTGGAGGACGTTTCCAGTCGCTCCCTCTGTTATTATTATTTTTAAACGTGTAAAAGCCCCCATTAGCTCCAGTTCCGGTGTTTCTTGTTTTAAAACTTAGTTTTAAAACAAACAATCTGAGATGATAAGACCCATCTAGACAAACAGCAGGGTCAGCCCAGAGAGGCTGGGAGAGAACAGGCTTAGCAGCGCCTTCCCTCAGCCTTTTCCTGCTGGTTTTCTCCGTTTTCTCCTGTTTTTACTCGCCTGTCTGGAGTTCGACGGTGCCATAAAATAAGCGAAGAAAGGTAGGGAAGAAGCCCCTGATTAAAATCGAGTCGGTTAATTTTCGAGCCCTTTTCAAGTGGGGTATTTGCAATCCTTCCGCTGTTCCGGGAGAGCGAAGAAAGCCAGATCGAAGAGCTCCTGTTTGCAGAGAGCCTCTGCCTGGAGTCTGAACGACCTTTTCCGCAAAGGAAAGCACGGCCGAGCCCGGCGCCGGGCTCAGGGGCCGCGGCCGGAGACAGCGCAGCGCTCGGGCCGGCGCCGGGGCTGGCACCGTCTGCGGGAAATGCCGCCCGGGGTCCCGCAGCGCGGCACCGGCTGCCTCTGCACCGGGCACCTTCCGTTTCACTCAATTGCAAATTAAAAAACCAAAACAAAACAAAAAAACACAAACAAACAAAAAACCCACCCCAACCACACAAAAAAAACCAAAAAACCCCAAACCAAAATGACTGCGTGCATGTAAATATGTTTCTTTTTTTGCACTTTCGGGACCCTCAAAACCGCTGGCGGGAGAGCAGGAGCCCACGGCGGCGGTCACCGCTCCTACCGGGCCGTTCGGAGCAGAGTCCAGCCCCGGGCACAACTGGAGCAAGCACCGGGGGATTCCTTATTTTGTTTGGTTTTCTTTTCTCCCTCCCCGCTGGATCGTTTTAAACGGGGGAAGAGTCAGAGCCCGAACAATGCGCTCGCTCCCCCCGAAGGCAGTTGCCGGAGCCTGGCGGGGAAAGCTCCGCAGCTCTGCCCGAGCCGCCGCAGCCACGGCGTTTCCCGGGGATCTCCATTAAATGCAATAATTAACAACCGTAATTGGGGCTCCTCTCCCCCCCACGTTTTGCTCGTTTCTAACGCGATCGCATCGGCCGCTTTCTTTGTTCCCTGGCCGGGAGCGGGGTCCCGGCCCCGGAACCGCGCCGCGGCGGCCGGAGCAGGGCCGAGAAGAGCTGGGCTCAGCCGGGCTCGGTACTCGATAATCGGGAAATGCAACAGCCCTGGAACACGGTTCAAGGTGCAGAATTAGGGTCTGTTCGCGTCCCCGCCGGAAGGAAAAGATCTACCCGTGCTACAACACGCATTTAGCAGGTATTGCACCGTTCGAGTGTTCCATTCGTCTTTTCCCCGTGCCACTGCTGTCCGCCCCCGCAGCACACACTGTCGTCCGAAAACATGGATCGAAGTCCCGTGCGGGATCACCGGCAGCCGAAGGCGCCCGGAGGAGCACAGCGCCCTTTCCAGCGGGGGTGAAACCCAGTGCCCTGCCCGCCGTCCTCCGCACGCCTTCGCCGCCGGCCCGCAGCACCCGCGCACTCTGCCCGCAGCGCCCGAGGCCTTCGGGCCGCAAGAGCCGGCAGATTTCGCCCCGAGAGAAGCACCAGGATCAAGTGACGGTAACCGCCGGGCCGGGCCGCTCCGCGACTCGCCCTTTGGCAGCCTCAGTTTTCCCCCAAACTGCGAATTCAACCCCCCGCGGCCGGACCGTGCCGCCCCGGCTGCCCTGAGTGCCCGGGTCCGGAGGGAGCGGCTGGAGAGCCGGGGCCGCTCGGGAGCTCCGCACTGACCTGCCTGCCTTGGTGACGATCATCTCGGTGCCCAGCTGGTTGAACTCGTCCCACAGCGCCTTCATCTCCAGCTGGACGCTCACGTTGGCCACCTTCGGGTTCTTCTTCACCGGCGCCTTGGCCGCGGCGGCCGCCCCCGCGGAGCAGCCCGAGACGGCGGCCGGCCCCGCGGCGGCTCCCCCGGCGCCCTCGGGCTGCTCGGGGCCTGGGGGCGGCGGGTTGGTCCCGGCCGCCGCCCCGCCGAAAGGATAGCCGTGCTGGGGCTGGGGCGGCGGGTGCGGGTGCTGCTGAGCCGTGCAGGGCTCGTAGTGCGGCGGCTCATGCTGTCCGTACGGATCCCCCGGGGAGGGGGAGAGGTGGTACCCCCCGGAGGCGTTCAGGCTGCTCAGGCTGTTGGCCGTGAAAGCTGCAACATCGCAAAAATGGGACAGCTGGGTGAGCCAGGGGCTGGAGATAGCTGAAATCATTCCAAAAACAGGCGGTCAGGGCTCCGCTCCGGCTCCCGCTTTCCCCCCAGCTCCGCGCGGCTCCGCGCGGCCCCCGCCTCCGCGCCGGCTCCGCGGGGTGCCCTCCGCCTCCTCTCCTGCCCCGCGCCCAGCCCAGCGGGGCGCCTCCCCCTTTCCGCTTTGCTTGGCCCCAGCCTCGCTCCCCCCGGGGCAGGCGGGGAGCTCGCTGCTCCCGCTGCCTGCCTGCCTCGGCTTCTTTTTTTTTTTTCCTTTTTTTTCTTCTATTTTTTTTTTCCTTTGCAAATCCAAGAGATCTGCCAAGAGCCGCGGCGGTGCAAAGCCCGTGCTATCTATCTCTGCAGGCCTCCCTCGCCGCACACCGTTTGGGGCAAAGCAAACTCCTTTCGTCACCCCCCTATCCAAAAAAATAAAAAAAGGGGGGGGGAAGAGGAGTGGGGGAACTCAAAGAAAGAACCGGTTCTTATTTCCGTGTAGCTACGCTGCTGCAGGTAACGTCCCTCGCTCTGGGGCCGCGGGGCCGCGGCTGACAGGGGAAGGCGGATCTGGTTTGGCAATCCCCCATTCCTTCCATCCCCGGGCGAGAGAGAAGGAGCAGATCGGGACCAGAGCAAAGCTCCGGGCCCGCGCCGAGGAGCGCCGGGACAGCGCCGGCCACGCAGCCCTCGGCCCGAGTGGGGCCTGCGGCGCTTGACAGGCCGCCCTGGTGAACGGCCCGCTCCTTCACATCCCCTCCGGTGCTGAAAGGCTTCTCGAGGTCCCGGGGATCTCTTGCTATATTTCCCAAGCAGCCCCCAGGCCAGACAGGGTCTGCAGAGCCCTCGGGAGCCGAGCCCCGGCCTGCCGCTGCCCCGGGCACGGCCGGCGCTGTCGGAGGATGCTCCAGCACCTCCGAGAAGATGCGGGTCCCAGCGGCAGAGCCGTCGAAAGCTGCTACCGGGCCACGGACAGAGCCCAACTCTCTAAGGAGGACTGCAGGGGCCCAGGCGCACCGGGGGGAAGCGGCAAAGCCCCCTCCGAGCGGCCCCGCGGGCAGGCCGCGTCCTGTGCGCTGCCCCCGGCACGGCTCCGGCCCGGGCCGCCCGAAAACCCTCCGACACGCGGTGGCCGCTGGTGCCGTCCCCGCACCCTGCGGGGCCGAGCGCGGCGCTCACCTTCCATGTCCCTGGTGACGGTGCTGAAGTGCATCTTCTGCGGGCGGCAGCCGGGGCGGGCGGGCGCGCTGCGGCCGCCGCGGAGCTCCTCCAGCGCTCCCTTCCCTGCTTGCTCGGCGGCGGCGGCGACTGAAATCAGAGAGGCGATACTGAAAGCATTTGCCTTGGGAGACAGAGGGCTGTTTTCGTCCATAGGGGAGACACCAATGCAGGAGCGGCAGCCGCGGCAGCCTCCCACCACGAGCCCCCCCTCCCACCCCCTCACTCCCCTCCTTTCTACGGCACCATCCAGGGAGGTGCGAATGAGACCCCCCTCCTTCCAGACGGGGGGGGGGGGAAGGGAAACTTTAAAAAAAAATCCAACACCGAAACAACCCAAACCCTCTGTCACCCCCGGGAAGGGCGTTGGGGAGCAAGAAACTTCCCTGGGGCCCTTCGTAGCCAGCGCCGAGCGCCGCAACGGCGGACCGAGCTCTGCAGCGAGAGGGGACCGGGGGGCAACTAATAAATTTCTTTCCCGGGGTCTCAATTTCTCTCCCCCCAAGTTCGTTCCCTGCGATTTATTAATTTATTTTCTCTCTTCCCTTCCCCCCAACCACCACCTCCTGCTTCTGCCTCCCCGTCCCCTCCTTTTCTCCTGCACGTAGGGAAAGTGTCTCCCTCATAGGCGCTTTCCCCCATTCAGTGGCTGGGAGGCGTCACATGGAAGCCGGGGGTGTTTGCCTGCAGAAGTGGCGGCGGCGGCGGCGAAAGCGAAGTGAAACTCCTGCCGAGACGGTGTCAAAGGGCTGGGGAGGCCCTTCCCCGCCTCCCGGGCACGGCGAGCGGCCGCCGGGGAGGGATGGGATGTGCTGCGGGGCGGGCGGAGGGGCCGGCGGTGTCAATCACGGCTCCGGGAGCCGGCCGACGGGAAGGGAAGAGCCGAGCCGAGCCGAGCCCGGCGTCACGCTGCGGATGTCCGGCACCGAGAGAAGGGATTGCTCCCTTCCTCCAGCTCGCATCCACCGCGGGGCTGCGGGCGGCCCCGGGGGCTCGGTGGCCTCGGGGACTCGCAGTCCGAGCCGCCGCAGCAGGCGGGGTCCGGGCACGTCGGGGTGCGCTGAGGGCGCAGGTACCGCCGGCCGCTTCGCCGGAGCGGGATGAGATCCCCCAGCCCCGGGCCACCAAACGCTCAAAACACCCGTCGGCGTTCGAGCATTTCCTTCGCCAAAAAAAGCGGAGAAAACGGAAAGCAACGATCGGGGCGGCAGGCGAGCCCCTGCCCAGCCCGGCCCGAGAGCCCGCTCCGCCCGCAGCACCTGCACGGCCCGGCCGGGGCCCGGCCCGCTCCCGTCCCTGCCCCGGGGAGGGCGAGGCGCTACTCACCACCCGGTACCGGCCCCTCGGAGCGCCGCGGCGTCCCCCGGGCCCTTCCTCTGCATCGGCGCGGGGCGAGGCGACGCGCCGGCCCCGGCCCGGCCCTGGTACCAGCACCAGTCCCGGTCCGAGCCCCGGTGCCGCTCCGTCCGGGCGGGTGGCTGCACCGAGGTGCCGGGGAAGTGCCCCGACGGGGCGGGCGGAGCCGTGGGGCGCGCCGGTGGCTACCACCGCGATGGGGGTTGCATAACCCGAGCGATGCGCGGAGAGCCGGAGTGAGCAAGCGGGTTATATATAGCTGCCCTGTCTGTAGCCTGCGGGGCTTGATTCTTCTGTTGAAATATTATCTTTGGATGTGGTAAAAATATTTGCAGAGAAAAATCTAGACTACTCTTACATATTTGAGCATATGTTCCTGCAGCTAACGGCATAAGGGCAGAGCGTGACACGATCGGTGTTTTGTTTCCCTGCTGCTGGCAGCGCGGTTCCCGGCCGGGGCAGCTTCTGTCCCGGGCTCAGGGACACGCCACGGAGAAGAGTGTCCCGGTGCTGGCCCGCGCTGCTCACCTGGCGGCAATACAAGGGGGAGGGGAAGGGATTTCGTTTGGGCACCCCGGGCAATACCGGAGGAAAGCGAGGAGCCACGGGTGCGAACTCCAAGTCGCCTCCAGGAACTCAAGGGCTGATGCGATGCCCTTCCCCGAGGTGTGCCCGGCTCTGGACAGCCTCTGCCCCAGAAACAAAGAAAATATTCTCCCCTGGAAATTAAGACACGAATCCAACGCCCCAGTAGAGTCGGAGAGCTCGGGGTTACTGTCCATCCCTTGACTGCCCTCACCGTTTTCCACGTTTATCCCTTTCTCCTTCCCTACTCCTCACGTAAAGCTCCAGCTGTAAGCGGGGACAGCCCGGGCGCGGACCGGCCCCTCGGCCTGTCCACCTGGCCGGCGGGGTCAGGGCTGGGTGCTGTCTATCGGGAATAGGGGATCCGCCGGGAATCGTTGTTCCCCGGGCGGCAGCGGAGCGGGTCCCCATCAAACCGCGGGGCTGCAGCCCCGAAACCCCAAATCCCCGGGAGAAGATCCCGCCGCCCCGTTCCCGTATCCCGTGCCCGGCCTCGCAGCCCGCGCGGGGTTCCAACACGCGTGAGCGTCGCCGGACGGAGCTGAGACGATGGAGGGGGGAACCAGCCCCGGCTGCCCCGCGACGGGAACCCCGCAGCGACAGAACCCACCGAAGGAGCGGAGCGGGGTCGTCCCTTTTCCTGCACCCCCAAAAAGGGCCTAAACCCAGAGGCCACGTTTAGCAGGCGTCTCGCCCAGCCCCGCGAACGCCTGTCCCGTTCCCCGGGCGCTCCGCACGGCCGGAGCGCTGCAAAGCACTCTGCATGAGGGGCTGCTAACCCCGCCGTTAGCCATCCTGCTCTGCCCCTGGCTCTGCTCTCGTCCAGGGGCCGGGGCGTGTGTCTGGATCGAGCCCGGAGGTTCTGCTCCTCGCAGCTCACACCTTGCCCGAGCAGGTGGGAGGAGAGGTCGGGGTTGTCCTGCCGCCCCTCCGCCAGAAACATCTCCGCGGTGCGGAAACGCCAAGAGCTCGACGGGAAAATAGGGCAGGGACCTGTCCCCCTTTCCCCTCATCCTCCGCGGTCACGCATCTGCTTCGCCCCGAAACGCTCGAGCCCGGCGGCGCAAAAGGCCGTGGCGGCACCGAGTAAAGCAACGCGTGGCAGCGACTCGCGCGTCCCTCACGACGGCAGCCCCCAAGTCCCGGGGCGGCCCCGGAGCCGAGCATCGCCGCGTCCCCCGCCGCTCCATCACCTCCCCCGGCCCCGGCGAGGTTTCCCCCGCGCAGCCCCCTCCCCTGTTTAGGCCCGACACCCCGCAATCCTCCAGACCTCTGAGGCGAGGCGGGGGCGGACACCGCCGGCTGCTGCCCTTGTTCTCCCCCGCACGGGCCCGACCCGGTGCTCCCGGGCACGGACAGTCGCGTTCCGCACCGGTGCCCGGGCCGTGCCCACACCGAGCCCAGGTTGTGCCGCAGGAGCACCGCGGTCCCGAGGGGCTCCCCCTGCGCCCCACGGCCCGCCGCCTTCCCTCCGTCCGCCCTTCGCACTCACCCCTCCGCCGGCATCTCTCCTCTCGTCCCTCCCGCGCTCCCTCCTTTCTGCCCGCTCCCGCGGCCCTTGCCCGGCCCCGCCGGCCCTCCCGCCCCCCGGCCTCTGTACCCCGGCGGGCCCCCGGCGGGCCCGGGCTGCGGGGGGAGCGCAGGCTCTGCGGGGGAGCTGGGGCGGCCCCGCACGGCCCGGCTCGGCCTCGGCACGGCGGCCCCGCTGCCCGCCGGGCCCTGGGGCAGCAAAGAACTCTCGGGGGGCAACGGCAGCGATGCGGGACCGGGGGCGCCCCTCACACTTTGCACACACCGCACACTCCGTACACAGCCCCGCACACCGCACACTCCGCGCACACCGCACACTCCGCACACTCCGCACACTCCGCGCACACCGCACACACCGCACACACCGCGCACACCGCACACACCGCACACACCGCACAC